ATCCTAAGTACCAAATCCTAACAATTGTGATTTTTATCCAGCCTACGCAGGGTTGTCAAATTAATTAACTAAATAAATTAAACTAATTGAGAAAGCAAAGTAATCACGAGAAAATATCAATAATAAACGGATCTAGGATTTTATCTTCCCCCTATGCAATAATTCTCACCCAATTAATCTCCTATTATGCAAGTTACGATTCCCGATTATTAACCCAAGACACGAAATTATTCATAACCAGCTGTCGCTGCGCTATAAACCTATTATTCATAAAAGATTCACTATATGTCTATGCAAACCTAATATAAATAAAGCATTAAATAACAAGTCTCGCAAACGGCTACCTAAGGTATTATCTGTATGTCTACGATAATACATGCAATTAACACACGCATTCGGTGAAAAACTACTCGAAGGTTCTCCTATCCCTGTTCTAATTATTAAAACGATCTGTCAATCAATTCTAACAATAACAACTAGCAACATAAGTTAGCTACGCTCATGCACTAAATAAGATCAAGATAGAGGAAATAATCGAAGAATTAAACTTGCATAAAAGTCGAAAAAGAGGTTCGAATCACCACATAGGGTTCCAATAAAATCCTAGAATAAAAACTTAGCTACTCATGTTCGTTACGGAAAACATAATGAAAATACGAAAAATCATAAAAACAATAAAAAAGGAGAACTATAATGAAGAGTCGTCAAGTCTTCGTCTTCGTTCTTGCTCCTTGATTGCGTGTCGAAAGATAAAAGCTAAAAACTAAAATAAAGATGAAAGGTAAAAGATAGGATCCGTCTAATTGTGTGCTTGTGGCCTTTAAATAGGGTGCAAAAGTCTAATAGGGCGGGTTTCCTTGTATAATTGAGTTCCCTTCACTGCGCCATCACGTCAGCCCGGACGGCCGTGTGAGATTTTGAACTAAAATCCGCACGGCCGTGCGGTCTTTAATTCTCCAGATTTCTGATTTTTTCACTTTTGGCCCACTTTTTCTCTGAATTTGCAGTTTTCACCCCAAAAGTTGTCAATTCTTCAATTTGCACCTAAAATACAAATAATAACCAAATTAAGCACCAATTATCGTAAAAACACACCAAAAGCTCCAATTAAAAGGTATAATTAAGTGTATAAATATACACTTAACACGGAGATTTTGAGGCACGTAGTGCTTAAACAAAACATCTTTGCCTCTTATCTTCACTCTTAATTACAACCTCAGTGTAACCCATTATTATTCTCGGCAAATCAAACATCTTGAAAGTGATATTTTCGAACTCCTGTGGTCGGCGCACATACACGCGCACTCCAAATTACCTAGTAAAATGGTTGGAAATCTCCCGCCATGTGAGAGGTGCACCGCTCGAGAAGGTCAAGAACAACGACTTGTTGTCTTGCAATGCACGTTCGCTTGTCGTTATATAAGGTCTTGCATTTGAGTTCAATAGATTCATTTTCACGGTAGTGCAATGGAGTGGTGGTGGTGGCATGATATATATGGCAGAGGTGGAGGATAAATAATAAACTTACGAGTCAATCATAAATGTAAGTCATTTTTATAGAATTCTATTGTTCAACTCGATCAACTTAATTGAGTTATGTCGAGTTTTATATCTTATATAAGGAGAGAATAATATATATGTTCGAGCTGAGGTTGGTTCTTAATATTAATGAACCAAGCTCAAATGGATTTTCCATAAAAATATTCACCAATACATATAATTCAAAGTCGATGAGTATTGTACATAATTACAATATAGTGGCGCAACTTATTAGGTGTTATAGCGCTTGGTTATTTATTGTTTCATATTTAGAATGTTCATCGGATTATATAGGGACAATTACACTTTTGGTCCCTCATGTTTGGCTCGATTTCACTTTTGGTCCCCCTTGTTCCAAAGTGAACAAAGTTCACCTCAAAGTTTCAATTTTAAACACTTTTGGTCCCCGCCGTTATATGTCCGTTAGCAAGTAACGGAAAACACTATTTTGGGGGTGAAAATTGAAATTTTAAATTTTTTTGGGGCTGAAAAATAATTATAAATTTACAATAGACTACTTATAATTGTTTAATAATAATTAAAAAAAATTAAAGTAACAAATTATTTTTATGATACCTAATATTATTATAATTATACTACTTATAATTAAATTTTTAATAATAAAAAAATTAACTAAACAACTTATTTTGAATCATACTTAATATTATTTTAATTATACTACTTATGATAAAAAAAAATTAATACAAAAAAAATAAATTAGCTAAACAAATTATTTTTAATTATACTTA